AAGTAGAAATGGGAGCAGGATTTCTTGCTATGTCTGCTGCAAAAGAAACGGTAAGCTACCAACTAATAACACCTTTTACATCTTATTAGGATTTTAGTTGCTTAACAAATTTAAACACCTTCTGCAACTGCTAGCAGTAAAAAGAATTGATCACCATTTGAACTTTTGCAATTCAAGAAACAATTAATTGATTGCAGAAAGTGGAGTACTATATGGCTTTAAGTGGTAAATTGCAAGAAATAATCTAGATTCAAATTCTTACATCTCTTAGCATTTCTCAAGCCGTAGAAACAGATTTTTGCAAAAATGCAGGTAAGGCTGCATACAGTAGATCCAATGCCCGGGCTCCGGGCTCCGTGCATAGCCGGAGCTTAGTGTGCCGGGTGGCCCTTTTTCTCTTAGTGGTTCTCTAGGTTATATTTACTAACATGTTTACGGTCAATCTAGATATTGTAACCTTCTGTTTTCCTCATTTTGTACAATGTATGTAGCAGTATCCTAATAACTAATGTCAACTTTAGGTAGGACTGGAAGGAAGTTCTGTTGGACAATGGTGGCAGGATGCTATAGGGAAGGCATTGAACGAAGGATCAACTTTTGAGCGAGTAGGATCAAGACAACTAGCTGCATTGCTTATTGCTATATGGTAAGAAACTTTTAGGTTACTTGGGTAATCTCTTCTTAGGGTGCGGCCTTTTCTCGGGCCCTGCACGACTGATGGATGCTTTGTACACCGGACTGCCCTTTTTTTGCAGTCCAAACTCTACTTCATCGAACCTCATCCTTCGTTAAGCTTTATTTTCTGACTAAATGGGGTGAATTAGCAGTCCAATCGGCTCCTGCCTATGTATACTAATATTCTTGATTGTACTTCAAAACTCAGGGTTAGAAAATCTATTAGGACTCATGTGGGGGACCTTGATGTTGGAGCAGTTGCATGTGGAATAGGACGTGCAATTGGTAATAAGGTAAGTTTCTTCTCTATCTTAACTTGTATCATAAATCAAACATTCATTTTGATTAGCATTTGAACAAGCTACTTCAGTGTTCAAATTGCTGAACATACTTTGCAGTAAATTCACTTCATCTAATTAAGATAAATGAGACACTAAAGCTAACATATAACTGAGTTTGGCGCATCTTCTTCAGATAATAAATCATGTTGAAAACTGGTCAGAAACTGTTGTTTTTGCCCTCGGAACAATAAAATGTCTGGTATAATTGTCTCATGGTTACACATTTAAAATGCAGGGTGGAGTTGGTTTGAGGTTAAGAGTTTTTGACCGAATAATGTGCTTTACAAACTGTCACTTTGCTGCACATTTAGAAGCAGTCAACCGTCGCAATGCTGATTTTAACCATATATTTAGAACAATGGTTTTCACCAAATCCTCCAACCTTCTAACTAATTCTGCTGGTATGCTTCTTTACCTGTTTTTATCTCCTCCGCATATTTAATTTGGCTATTCACTCGTCTGACTTGCATGCATCCTCTCTCTTGCAGCTGGTGTCTCATCTTCTGCTCAGATGCTTCGTGGTGCAAATGTATAGACCTGAACTTCTTGTAGTAATTGTCAACTCATCTTGTTGTCTAATCCAATTCATGTAAAACTAACCCTTGTTAATTATAACAGGCTGCACAAATTAATCCTGATGAGGGAAAACCCGAACTTGCTGAAGCTGACTTGGTGATATTCTGTGGTGATTTCAATTATCGTCTTTTTGGAATATCTTATGATGAAGCAAGGGACTTTGTATCGCAAAGATGCTTCGATTGGCTTCGAGAAAAAGATCAATTGAGAGCAGAAATGAAAGCTGGAAAGGTTTTCCAAGGGATGCGGGAAGCAATCATCAGATTTCCACCGACGTACAAGTTTGAAAGAGGAAAACCAGGATTAGGAGGTGAGACATATTTATAGTTAGAGATTGCCCTCCCCGAATATGTCCAACTTAATGGTTGAGATACTAAAAAGGACTAAACTAAAACATACATTTTCAATTTTAGGATATGATTCTGGGGAGAAGAAACGAATTCCAGCTTGGTGTGACCGAGTACTATATCGAGACAACAGGGCAACTCCATCCACAGAATGCAGTTTACAGTGCCCTGTGGTTGCTTCCATTATACAGTAGGTTCCCTCGGGGCTTTCTTCACTTTGGCCTTTTTTCCTTCATCTTGAAACTTATTTTTCTGATATGATAGGTATGAGGCTTGCATGGAAGTGACAGAAAGTGATCATAAACCGGTAAGGTGTAAGTTCAATGTTGAAATAGCTCATGTTGATAGATCAGTAAGGAGACAAGAATTTGGGAAGGTTTTCCAGTGCAATGAAAAAATCAAGTCTTTACTACAAGAATTTCGTTATATTCCTGAAACGATTGTTAGCACGAGCCAGATAGTCCTTCAGAATCAAGACACATACAGCTTAAGAATCAGCAGTAGAAGCAGAGAAGACAAACTTTTCTTCCAGATAACCTGTGGAGGTCAATCCACTGTCAAAGAGGATGAACAACAATCAGAGTACCGTCCCAGAGGTTCCTTTGGTTTCCCCCGGTGGCTTGAGGTGATTCCTAATTTACTAGATGCTCTTAACTCAGGGTTATATTTTCTCTTCTTATGGTAAACACCTGTGTATGTTATCATGTTTCATGGCCATGGAAGTTCATATATAACCATGCTTAACCATGTTCCAAACCTCTTCTTGTCAAAGGCACGCTTAAAGCACGACTAAGCCTTGAAGCGAAGATCAAAACATGTTGAGCACTTCGCCTCGCCTAGCAGGCGCTTCAGTGTCATCATCAAGGCTCTAAGGCATATTTTTCCTTGTCAATGAGCTTAATCCTAAAGAGGAGGCACTAAACAATTGATATTTCATTTTATTGTTATTTTTTTCAATTTCTTTGCCCATATATTTATTATTCATGCTTATAATTATTAGTCTTGAAATACACATACATATTTGCACCTTTTTTCATTAAAGCCCATGCTTTATTTGTGCTTTGTACTTAAAGTCCCAACGGACCTTAGAGCTTTTTTGCGCTTTTCGCCTTTGATAACACTACTCCAATGAACTCTTTCTTTAATCATTATTATCTTTGTTATTTTGGTCAAACCCACTTACCATTAGAAAACAGGTAGTGAGGAAGGAAGATAAGAAAATGCAACCTTTGATGATTAGCATTCGGCCATATTCTGATTCTCAGACAGATGTATTATCACAGTCTGACCACATCTACCAAATTTCAACTGATGGAGAAGGCATTTGTTAATCTGATCAACCAAGCAAGCCATTTTCTCTGGATTTATGCCTAAATCTATTTGTTTCTTTGTTAGTGTCATTAAGAGAATCCTATAATACTTCAATTCTATTTTCTTGACTGTACCCAAAAACTAAAAGCAGCTTCAAATGCACTTCTTTAGACGAAAACGGACCTGTTCTGCTAGCAACATCTTATGTTTTTGTTATTCAGGTCACACCTACTGCTGGCATCATCAAACCGGATCAAGCTGCTGAAATCTTGATACGTCATGAAGAGTTCAACAAATTAGAAGACACTGTTGATGGAATTCCACAAAGCTGGTGGTGTGAGGACACCAGAGATAAGGAGGTGATTTTGCTGATAAACGTGACAGCCAGTCGCTCGACAGAGGCAAGAACGCATAAAGTGCATGTTCGCCACAGCTTCTCAGCTAATGCAGTTCGCACGACTTCAAAAAGCAGTTCGAGAAGAAGTCAAGGTGGCGGTAGCTCCCACCATAGATCTGCACTTAGACATGCGGGAAGTGGCTCTGAAATGATGACTGACAATGAAAGCTTTCAGGGTCCTAGATAGCTACATGACTTCCTGTGAGACAAACAGAAAAACTGATTCACAAGAGTTTCCAAGACAATACTCAGATGTTTAAGCATTCGAATTTCTTTTACTGGCAATACTACTTGATAGGATCTTGATGTAAATACTCATAGATGATTTAGAATGGAGCTGAGTCTCCAACTCAGAGATCTTGATAGACGGGTATAAAATCGTTCACCCTTTTTTTTGTAGGATCAATCTTAAATTTCTGTATTGATATGCTACTTTAACTGAAAATTTTATGATCAATTTTGCAGTTCGGTCATCCCAAACCTTGTTGTGCATCAACAGAAAGACATTTATGTTCTTGATGTGCATAATTCTAGCTAGCTCTTAATTCTTCAGTTCATTTTTAGTTAAGTTGTTCCCAGTCCTGTACTTATGTTTGATGCCATTAAGGGAGGAACCTGTCTTTAGAAATCTCTGCTTGCCAGCACATACGCATGCCACAAAAGTAAACTACGATAACGTTGTGATCTTGTGATTTTGGTCTTTCACAGGCATTAACACCAGAAGGGGGAGAAAATCCACGTGGAAAACGAAAGTCCCCTACCAAAAAAGGGTTCGCCCAATACAAGAACTACAACCCAACCTAGCTTAAGGCTAAAGCCGTGGACTACACCCCCATGAGAGCCCTCTATTTGACTAACATACTCCCTTTTGATCTCCCCCATACCTTCCTATCAAAGCTGGGAATGATTGAGTTTGGGATTAAAATAATACCGCATAATGGCAGTACTCCAATGCTTTTCCAAAAATGAGTGATCAAAAGATCTCGTTACTATGTGTATCTTGGGGGTCGTCATTTTAGATGGTATTTCTTTTTTGACTGACTTCTCTTCTAGTAAAAACTTACCTACATTTAGTGTTTACACTAAGTGATGAATACATGGCGCATGTCTTTACGTACACTCTTATCATACACATTCTCACCTTAGTTTATGACTTAACTATAGCAAATTAGTATGGTTTGGTGTAAATACCAGGTGTAGGTAAGTTTTTTCCCTTCTCTTCTTGTTCTATAGATCAGAAACATCTGTGAGTGAGGAGTTAGTATTTGATCAAGCAAAGATGCTACTCTCAAGAATCAAGATGGAGCAAGAAATTTTCCACCTCATCACCTCGAAGAGTAGTGGCTAGAAAGCTGAAAAACAGGTATTTTATGAAGAGAGAAGAACTACAATGAATTATATTAAAAGAATAGCTTTTCTGTCTGTACACTTTCATTAAGAAAATGGTTGTACATAGAGAAAATAAATCAATATCAGGCATCTGAACCTTCTTGTTACCATATAGTCAGGAAACTCCGTGATAACTTGCCCTTGAACTACTAAATGTTAAGGAAATAAAACTGAAGGATTTGTTAGAGCCTTTATCTTGAACTTCTGAGCAAGACTTGCCTCAGGTTGCAACATTCCGGTAGTTGCAAGAACACCAAATCAGAGAATTCCCGTATTACTGCAATATACTCTATTGGAAACATTCCCTTATTTGTTCCTAACTAGCATAAATTCTTCATATGCTTTGACCATTTGGAATCTGGTGCCGTGCACAGACGTTTATCAGACTTCATGGTATAGACGTGTACTTTTTCTTCCACAGAGCTTCAGGTTTGAAACCAAAGGCAAAAGGTTAGTGACTTTTATCTGTTCCTATACTGCATACATCCTCTTGTAGTTTTCAGCGTAAAGCTCTGTATCTGATGCCACAGACATTGCATACGAATGTGAATGAGTCCCAGTACTTCTTATGCTTCTCATCTTTGACTCTTCTAGCCTATGTCGAACCACACAGTAGCACATGGAGCCAATTGTAGTGAGCATTATGATGCTACCAATCGCAGTTGCATAGATAGCAAGCCATCTTTCTTTAGATCCGACCACCACATAAGAAAGCGAAATAAAGGAAACTGAGATGAAGAGACAAGCTGCCCACATGAGCCTGTTTATCCAAAACACGAGTAGCTTCTTTGCTCTCGGTTCAATCACAACCAGAGAGGTCTGGACAACAACAACCGCGATGGAAATAAACAAGGCCATACTATCAAACAAGAAGAAGATTATGAAAGCTGCTTTCTCGGCTACATGCGCTTCACCAAGCGAAAAACCATCTGTTTTCTCTTCAACATATTGACCAGGCACGGTGAAGATGGCAGCAAAAGCTACGGTAGCAATAAGGACAGCAACCACTGTAGCATTGTTGATGGCATTGTTGAGACCACTAATGTGGAGCTTCTTCACCTTCTTTGCAATTTTCCGTACTTTGAAGCCTGTCTGTCGACTTTGTTGGAGTTGGGACTGCACATCATGTCTTATATCACTGACAGTCTGCTTGAGTTGCTTAGCTTTACTTGGAGGCTTTCCGTGATCTTTGGAATGGGTAGCTCCGGCCACCTTCAAAATGGAAACAAGCTCTGGCATTCCAAACTTTTCTGCAATATCAAGAGCCGTTTCTCCAGCTTTATTAGTGGCATTCAGATCGATGCATTCACTTGATATCAGACACTGTACCATCTGCAATTGTAACATACGAGAGTTTCAACATGAATGCTAAAAACAGAGAGCACAGGAGAAGGACACTGGTTTTCCTAAATGAAGCGTTTAATCAACCAAAGAACGTAATCTTTTGTAACTTAAACATGACGAGTATCAAACTCACATATAAGTGGAGGCCCCTCCAGTTTTTCAAAAGCAAAGGTTGTAATTTAATCTGTATTAACAAACAATTTTGACTCACTCTAGCCGCATTTTTTCTTAAGATATAAAATACTCTACTCATTCACCGCAAAACACATGAATTCTGGAATATTGTTTTAACAGGAAATACAGACAGAGACAAACCTGTGCCCGTCCCTTTTTTGTTGCAATATGAAGAGCTCTGTTTCCTTTGTTATCTTCCAAAGCTAATACTGCAGGATTCGGTTTGATTAATTCGCGCACAATGTCAACATTTTGTCCCTTTACAGCCATGTGCAGGGCACTTTGGCCTTTACTATCTGTTCTAAGGCCAATCTCAGGATCTCTGCTCAGAAGAGATTTAACTATTTCCAAGCGGCCCATTCTTGCTGCTGTATGCAGCACAGTCTTCCCATTGTTCCGAGCTATCTTAGCAAGGTTCGAATCAATCTCCAGAAGCAGATTTGCAACATCAGTGTGTCCCTGAGCAGCTGCTGTATGTAAGGCTGTAGAATTGGATGAATCTGTCGCCATAATCAGGTTTGGAAATGAATGCAATAGTTCCTTCAATACCTCTGCAATGTCATATCCAAAAAAAAAGTTTCAAAGAGTGGAGGTAAGAAAAGAACGTTACGAACAAGTGTTAACAGAACAAACTTCAAGCAATTACCCACTCATTTTTTCTTTTTTACTTGTACTCACAAACACCTAAGCTGTAATACTTTGGAGTAAGGACTATTGAGCAGTAGTATCAACTTGATGGCAATTGGCAGGTACAAGTCCATTCTTTGACGCTAAGAAATGTATTTCACCATCATTTTGTTAAAGATGTATTGTTATCTTGGTCTTGAACAATACAATTTCACAACTCCCCTAACAATTTTATAATGTGATATTTATTTAGAGCTTATACCCATGGGAAGAGCAAAAAGTAAGAATTATCTAGGTTCTTTAGTCATGGATTAGAGAACCTCAAAAAGATTTTAAAAAGAACTTATAAGACATCTAGGCTTGTTGAAATTTTGAGCCAACAATTATCTAGGTTCTTTAGTCACCAGAAGTTATCGACACAGTACCATCTAATTTGAGGGTTCAGAAGCTAAAATCCGTGATGGAAGTTGCACGCTATGTGTCAAGGTCAAGTGCATAATATACTAGCAAAGCACAAACCCCATCAAGTATACACACTTTCTATCTGAAAGTTAATTGCATCAACACCAAATGTGAAAGATATTCTGAACAGAAATTCATACAATTAATTGAAACATCATCTCTTTTTTTCAAAATTCTTATCATACTATATATGAAGGGGAGCCTTGGAGTAACTTGTAAAGTTGCTGTCATGTGACTCACGGGTTTGAGCCGTGGAAATAGCCTCTTGCAGAAATGCGAGGAAGGCTGCGTACAATAGACACTTGTGGTCTGGCCCTTTCCCGCACCCCCGCAAAGCGGGAGTCTAGTGCACTGGGTTGCCTTTTTTTTTTCTTTCATAAATCATGCTATATATAGCTTGCTATAAGGGTGTTATGTGTTAGAAGACTTACCAATATGACCTTGCTTTGCAGCAACTTGGAAAGCATCATAGCCATTATTTGCAACAAGAGAAGCAATTTGAAGGTCCAAATGTTTCAACATCTCAGCAACAACTAAAGTGTGGCCATTTTCAGCAGCAACATATAATGCAGTCTCACCCTGTTGGTTTTGCAAAGATAGCAAACTTCTGATGCCTTTTCCATCAAATTTCTCAATAAGTTGTTTCACTTTTCCTAAATTCCCTACTCTAGCTGCAAGATGAAAAGGCGAATCCCCTCGTTTCCCTGGTGATTCTTTATCCCTTTTCTTCTCAACATCAAAACTAACTTGCCTATCCATTACTATCCTAATACTTTTCTCATTTTCCATCACCCCATTTCGAAAACCCTGTTGTTTTTCCATTCTTGAGCTAATTTCAGAAATGCCACTTTTCTCTATACTAGACACTGGTGAATTTTTTCCACTTTGTGAAGACTAAGTAAGCAGAAAGATCAAATTTTTTTCCTATCATTTCTAGCTCAAAACACTTGATAACATCACTTCAATGGAAAATTTCCAATTCAGAGACTAAAATCCACAACCAAAAAAGAAAACTTCAATTTAAGCTTGTATATTTGTAAGATTTTCAGAGCTCAGCAAGAAAGAAACTTCAAAGGTCCAAAAAGAAAGGCACTTGAATTGTAATGGGGTGGTGGAAATTTCAGTTTTTTGTAGCCACTCCAAATATCAAAAGAGACAATTATTTCAGCAAATCAAGAAGAACAGTAAAAGGAAACTTCCTACCCATGTGTGATATATTAAACACGTGTCATAAAAGAATTGTACTAGTTTATTTTAATAAATTTATCACATATATTTGAACTTGTAGTATAAAATGAGACACATATATTTGGTGTGACTTTAAATCATTGCATATAGATAAATTGTTTTCAAATAAAAAAATTTGACACGAACTAAAAAAGAAATAGGTTCATATAAATTGCAACCGGAGGAATAGTATACAATAAGGTTGCAAATTTGAAAAAATATGCCATATGAGTTGATAAAACGCACACGTAAGTTAGAAGGATTACTGTAATACAAATCTTATGACGTAGAAGTATTTAAGATTACAAATTTAAGAAGAAAAAAATGCACCCAATAAATCTGTCGAATAAATTAATACAAGGGATTTATAGGTCATTATCGCTCGGTTCATATTACGAACCAAACTCTATCAGATTCTACGAAGCATCACACCTACTTTTTAAAATATTCATTGCAAATTGTCACTACTTTAGTATAATTGGCCTTAACCTCAAAAAAGGGAGGAATGAAAACACAGAGTAGCTCTAACAAAGAGTCGTGACATTGACATGGTTTGACTACCACTATAGCATTCAAACTTTCATAAAATCCAGTCAAATTTAATCTGCACAACAACAAGAGTCTATCGAAGGTTCCAGACGGGTGGCTTTCGTATATTAAAAATGTTTGCCGGAGAAATTTTATAATGTTGGCTCGTTTGGTACGAGGGATAAGAGATTGTAGTGTTATTTTTATTCATATGGGATGGTGAGATAACAATCCCGAAATAATTAATCCCGGAAGAATTAATTCATGAATAATTTGTTTCCAAACCAAACTACCCCTTAGTGGAAAAGAGAGTGCTACTCGAATGTATTACTATGGTCTATGGATCGTCATGGAAGTAAATAAAACTATTTGGTTTGTTTAGGTGTTAATGATCCACAATTTAAATAGCCTATTTAATTATTTGTTTCTGGAAATGCTTTGGCTTTTTCTTTTTTTTTTTTTTTAACGAAAATTTGCTTCACATCAACAAACTTGTTTAGAGAGGGGGAAAAAAACAATTTGAAAACATCTTTGGAATATACAAAGTTCAAGCAAGCAAATTTGACCCCAAAAAAGAAACAAAATAAACAATAGCTAACATAAGATTTTCTCTTATTACATAGTAAGAGGAATCAGGAAAATAGGAAAAGCAAGTCAACTAAGGGGACACTCGAGAAGTCATTAGAATTTAGACCCTTAGGTCTTTATAGATCGGTTTAACTGCTTGTTTTGGATGGGTGTTATCTATTGTATTATATCGTATTGTTACTTTAAATTAAGGGTATTTATCAGACGGGCTGGACATAAGAAAAAATAACCCGTCTGATTAGTGGGGCGGGCTGGTTAGTGGGCTGGGGTTTCGGACTGGTAGTAAACTAGGATATTCCGGGTTTTGGTGGGCCCGTCCGGGTTCGAGCTTATCGGGTCTGGACCGAACCGGGTTTATTTTTTTTAATGTAATTGTTACTTAAGTGTTTTCAAACTTTTAAATAATAAAATAAATATTTTAAGGCATAAAATTAAACTTTTTAAACTTTTAAGTTTAAAGTTTTAAATTTGAAATTTGAATTATAAAATTTGAAAAATGAAATTAAGTGGCTACATAAAATAATTTAATAAGACCAATATGTAAGGACCAAACTTCAAAGGCTTTCATTTCATATTTTCATTGCATAATAATATTTCAAATTAACTTGTTTAATACACTAACACATTAAGCTTAAATAAGTCTAACAAATTCAAAATAATACAAATTGTCTCAAATCAACTTAAAATACGAATTGCTGGAGGGCACTCAAGACAACCCTTGATATGCCTTCTTAAACCAGCTATGCCCTCCCTCTTTCGACGAACATTAAAGACTCGACCACAGTTCTTGCACTAAACTTTGCGAACTTCTTCATTTTCTTCTACCACCTCAAAGTATTCCCAAACATGTGAGCGCACTCTAGAAGTACGGGGCATGACTTAACTTGAACCTAACAAAAATAGTAACCACACTTCACTTGATAATTATAATTTTGTAGTGGCTACTTTAAATAATTGATAAAACTTGAAATATTAATTAATTGAGAACTTGAGAGCAATAAGAAATTCAATAATCAAGAGGGAATTGCGAGAGAATTAGAGTAAAAGAAAAGAGCAAGTTGTGAGAAAGAATGAAGGAGAGGGGGGTTATTTATAGTTATTAAAGGCTAAAAATATAATTTATCATTTATTAGAGGTGGATGGGCTATTTTAGTAAGGGGATAGGTCGAAATGGCTAAAAGTTCAAAAAAATGGCCGTTGCCCAACGGTCATTTTTTGTTTGGACCGTTGGCAACGGTCATTTTTTATTTTGACCGTTGGCAACTGTCAGGATTTTAAAAAAAATACAACTTAAACTGGGCTGGACCGGGTTGAACACGGTTAAAACCCTTGAACGGGTTAGCGGGTTAGCGGGCTAGCCGGGTTCCGGTGCACCGGTAGCTAAAAAAGGCCCGACCCCGTCCGACACAACCTCCCTACCCTAGCCAACCAGTCCCACCCCTTACCGAGCCGGGCTGACCCAGGTTGAACCAAGTTGTTAGTGGGCCGGCCCGGCCCTATTAACACTTTTACTTTAAATACAATATCTATTTTGATTCTTACTTAAATTTTATTGTATTGTATCGTTAAATTTGTCGTTACGTAACGATAAAAAATACCACTTTATATAACGACCAAGTAGTCTCAATTTTATTTTTTATCTTACTTTTTTATATAATAATTATACCTCGTACCTTACTTTTTCTTTATAATATTACAAGTTTATTCTTTATATTGTTAGTGCATGACAACATGAACCGACGCAAACAATACAATCTAGCCAACCATTATATATACCACAACGATATACTATAATACAAATACGATCCAATACTTTATAAAACGATGCATAACAACTTTCTAAAGAAGCTGTAAGTTGAGTTTTTTCCTTGAGCTATCACGAGTTCAAATTCCATATTCTCATAGTTTTGGAATTCTCTTCTCTATCATTATGTCAAAAGATTTAAAAAAAATGAAAAATCAAGGGAAATAATTATGAATTCCTAAATATTCACCTAATCAGTTATTTGGTCAGATTGTACGATAAAGTTATCGCCGCCAGAGTTGGACCCCAAAGAAGCACTAGTTGTAGTTGACTCCGTAACTTGACTAATAGCCAGATTTTCTAGAAGGGATGGCTATAAATAATATATTCCTAACAAACCACCACATTGGAATTGGATTTTTTTTCCTTTTCCATCCTAATTTTACTGAAAAAAGATTAACAAAATATCAATTAGCAGAATTAGCGTTGAGACACCTAGAATAATAATTATATCTCAATTCCAAACAAGTTAAAATCGAGTATGTGAATTCTTATCTCTTTATTTAAGTTTAATTCCGTTATCATCACGCCCCAGAATAAGCTCAATTCTGTTATCATCATACCTCAGAAGTAGTAGGTTAATTGGATTTATATCAGCAACTTTCAATTGTTTTTCTTGGTCCAGTCAACTTTCTCTCAAGGATGATAAATATCCCAAAAGATCTCGTTTTAATTAGTTATACTTCATTTCATCATTTATAGCTTGTTTGGTCAAGTTACTAAATCAGTTTATTTTGAAAAGTACTTTTTTTCAAAAGTACTTTTGGTGATAAGTAGTTTGTATTAGACTAATTAATTTGAAAAGCACTTCTGAGCATCAATTAGTGTTTGATCAATCTTTTAAAAAGTGATTCTAATTATTTTTTTTTAAAAGTGTTTTTGGAGAGAAACTATTTTTTTCTGTTTTTCTAAAATTGCTTCTCCTTTTACTCGAAAGCATTTGTTTTCTTTTAAAAGTTTGGCCAAACGCTTTAACTTTAAAAAGAGCGTTTTTTTAGAGAAAAAGTTACTTTTGTCTTTTTTTAACCTATTTAACATCAGCATATATTTTCTTCCAATCTAACCAAACATGCTAAAAATAGAAATACTTCATTTTCTTTTCTTCTCTGTCCTCTTTCATCCTCTTTAATTTTCGAGAAATTTTATTTTGAGTAAAACTCACCCAATAATAATTATATGAGAATACCTTCTAATATTTTGACAAGTGTATTTGTGGGGTTCATTTACTGACAGTCTGATACTGAGCTTAAACAAAGAAGAAAAGGTAAATAGTGAAATGCGGGTCAACTGAAAAAATTAGATAAATAAAAATAAAAGACCGTGGGTCCTACGCAAAAGCAATCTCTATCGGATATGAATAGAAGAAATCGAACACTTAAATGTTTTATGGATAAATGGTTCCTTAATAATTTCTCGTTTTTTCCACCTAAAACAACTCTCAAAACAAAAAATTTCCTCAGACACCATATTCTCCTTTGCATTAACGTAAAAATCATTCTGATTTCTTCCGTGAAGGAAAAATATTATATAAAACTCTGGAAGCTCTCTACAATTTTCACAAATCTCCACAGATCTACACATATAAAATAAGTTAGTAATATCCCTATTTATAATAGTGCAAAATTTATTTCAACTAGAAACAGGAAAGTATTTTCCTATATTAATTTTTACTACAAATCTTATTTAGACATGAATTAAATAAACCAAATCCTAAATAACTAAAGTTTCCTACTATAACCTTGAATTAGTTTTCCAACATTCTCTCGTAATTCAAAGTTGCATACGTCTGACTTGTTTGTATTGTTGTCTTGGAGCACTTTTCTCCAAATTCTACTTTTGTTGAAGCATGTCTCCAACCCTCGTTGATGCACTTTGTCAGTAACACCCAATTTTGTTGAAGCACCAGCCTCCAACCCATGTTGATGCACTTTGTCACCACACCTAATTCTGTTGAAGCACCTATCTTCAACTCACATTGATGCACTTTGTCACCAATACTCGATTTTG